CCAGCCCAGCCGCAGTGCGCGCGGAGTAGCTCCGCGGCCGCCCCTTCCCTCCCGTCTGGGAACGGGCAGTGCCCGGACCGCGGGGACTTCAGATACAACTCGCAGAAACGTCCCGGCGTTTACTGTGCAAAGCTCTGAATAACTAGTATATGGAAGCTAATTATTTGAATGACCTTTATTGTATTCTTTAACTGATCCAACAAGACAGTAGGATAGTTTTGGAATCTACCAAAAGTCGTGATTTTTACGCATTGAGATTTTACAGTTCCATGTTGTGTGCTTGGAACAGTTGTTAGTATGTCAGTCTTCACTCAAACGGGGATCAAGTGCATGAGCAGAGACGTGTCCGTCCCCAGTCTGAGCTTGCTGGTGTATCCCCTCGCCAAAAGGAGACCCATACTGATGGTGTCAGAGATTCATAGTGTAACTGCTGGGTTAAGCTGGAGAAGCTGATCATCTCGATAAAGCTTATTAAAAGTATTAACAATAGATGTCAAGTTGTGCAGGTAAGCTTAATGAATATGTAGGGAAGGTTTTAGCATTTCAACTCTTGTGGATACAGGTGTAGAGTTATACAGACTTAATGAGGTACAAATAGGTCCCATTTTCTCCTTTTTCTTAGATGAGAAAAATTCATGTCGGGAAAATATGTGGAAATTTTGCTGTACCGGGTATAATTAGAGATGTAACTAAATGTGAAGGAATCTTAATGTTGACGAAGATAGTCCTGTGTGGGAAGGTAGGGTGGAATGCACTGCAGTTTAGTCAGTTAAATCGTCAGCTTTTATTCTAATTGGATTCAATGAATGTGTTTGGGATTAAAAAATGGCAACGTTTTCTCCTAATATAAAACTTTTCTAAATATTTCCAGGTAACTGTTATCTGGGTACAGCTGTGAAATGGGTTTAGAAATAGCCTCACACAAAGAGGTGAAAGACTACAGAGAAATAACAGTAATAATTATTGCCAAATATGTCACATTTGTCTTTCTACAGAGACTCTGCCAGAAGATGCTCTCAAGATAACATCTGCAGAGGAGAGAAACACAATTCCTGCTTTTCCTCTTCGGACTTCAGCTCTGGTCTTGAGTTGGAAGACTATATCTCTGTAGGTGACACTTCTGGAGCAGAGGAGGATACAGACTCAGCTATCTTGTACGGAACTTTGCAAGGAAGTGTTGTTGGATTACAATACTACACAGGGATTGTAAGTGCACGAGAAATTGTGCAGCAGAAGATAAAGTTGTCAGCTTCAGAAAAAGTAAATTTAAATCCATTTCAAAAATTCATAAAACTTTCGGCCAAGTGCATTTTAATAGTTTGTTGGTTTGGGGGTTTTTTTCCCCCTTACTTGCTGTATTCAGCATTCTTCATGGGAAGTTCTTAATCTAAAACTTTAATTCAAAATTTTATTAAGGTAGGAAGCTTTCAGTTCTGGTTTAGTTGTCTGGTAGCCCTGCTCACCCACATAAGGCAAATAGAAGTGACTGAAAATAAGAAACTAGATAGGTTTTTGAACTGTTTACATGGACATGAAAGGTATTTATTCCCTTATAAAAAGTGTTAGCAGCTGAAGGTAGTTCTTAGGAGTACTCTTGAAATCACTGACACCTACCAGGGAACTATTCTGTAATGTATTTGGAATTTTGAAGAAGCAGTAGGTTATTGGACTGACTGAACAGCATGCTATGCCAGAATAAGCTTTGTGATGTTTAAGTAAATGTATATTAGATATTTCTTTAAATAATTGCCAACTATATGAATGCATTCTGGTGTTTGTTTGTTTTGCTTTGTTAGGTTAATAACAATGAAATGGTTGCACTTCAGAGGGAGCCCAATAATCCTTACGATAAAATGCAGTGCAGGTCACTAACGTGAACGGAGGCCAGGTGGGCCACATCAAGAGGCAGCCGGCGGCGGCACTGGCAGGCGTCATGGACAGCAGACTCGCCGCAGTCGAAGGGCAAGTGTGAATTCAATGATTTCGGTTCCACAACATACGGAAACATTTTTTTGTTGCTGCAGTAGCAAATTATGAAAACTATTTCCAAGTGGTCTCTTTTGACAGAAATTGCAGCTGTTGGTAATGTGGTTAAAGCTTCATGTTTTCAGACTCCTTATTCTGCCAAGCTATTTGCATGCAGTCCGTTCTCTCCCATATGTGATGAAATGTAGAGACACTCGTGAGAGCAGATTCCTTAAAGGTAGTGTGGAACATTTAAATTAGCTGCACATGGTGGTTCAAGTAAAAGGTTTACTCAGCGTGTGTACTGTCACCTTCCTGGAACATTCTGTGTTTTGGTGGAAGTAAGCACTTGGGAGTACCTCTTGGTGAGGAAAGGTTTATTATAAAAAAATTAAGCCATTAATTCCAGATTACTGTGCTGGGTTTTTTCCTGCTTTTTATCAGGGTTGTCCCTTATGGAGCAAAAAATGCCTTCACCATGCCTGTGCAAATGAGCTTTTGGGGAAGAGAAGAAAACAAAGAAGCAGTGCTAAATCAGCTGAGAAGGCATGGATTTAAATTAGCTCCTCCTCTGAAAGGCAAGTCTTGGAAGTTTCACTTTTTTTTCCTTTTAAAAATATTTAGATTGAATTTGCTACTGGTTTGAAAGGGCTTAATCTTCATCCTAGTCTTGTCATTAGCAAAATGATTTTTTTAACTTAGTGGGAGAATAATGCGGAGTTCCTTAAAAATCCGTAACAATCCCCTGCATCTTTCTAGACTTGAAAAAAAACATGTTAAAGAAACAAGTTAGACCCTTTTATAGGGTGAGGGCTTTGGAGACGATGCTTTTCAGCGGAGTGCTGCGGCACATATCCTGCTAGTGAGGAATGAGCAGAGCTGAGATGTCTCTGAACAAATAAGCTTAGCAGACCTGATGCTTTGCACAGTGAGCCTTGCACGAGAAGCACCTGTGCTCCTGGAACTAGGCTTTGTTGAAGCAGTGGTAACTGGGAGTAAGGATGCCTGCAGAAAGAAAGTTTTAGTGAGGGATAGATGTCTTTTATATGCAGCAAGCTATCAGTTTTTATTTGCAGGTTCTATTGCACATAGTTAAAAAGAGTTTGGAATGAAAAAGCATTTTGCGTTGTCATTCATGTCACCAAGTCAAATCTCATGTAACACAACAGCTTTTAAGAAACACAGTTGCCATCCTGAAGGATCCCAACCCATAGCTTATTGCCTGTGAGTCTTAAGAAGATTTGTGGAAAGCTTTTGTGGGTCATTGAAAGTGAAGGATAAATTGAGGCTAAAAGACAAATGGTGAACAGTCTGACTAGCACTGTTACTCATGAGCCAGGGAATGCTGAGGCTAGGAAGTCATCGTATTCTTGTATTTCAAAATACTGTCTCTTGCATGGCAAGGAGGTTCAGAAGGTGGTTTTGGATCCAAGTGGATTTGTAAGAGAGCTGCTCCGAGTTACAGCGCTCCGGTTCATGCCGCTGTGCAACTGACGACTGAACAGGTTTGCATTTCATACGTGAACAGCTGGAAGTTGCAATGTGAACAGTGGGAACCTTTAGCTCTTTCATTAATAAACCAGTGCTCGAAGTGGAAGTCTGTTGTTGTTTTGATTTCTTTTCTGACCACAGATGTGCTTTGAAGGCATCTCGAGCTTTTGAACTTCCTCCACTTTTCATGCTGTAAGCAGGCACTTCAGCTGTGACAGCCTTGAGTCGTGTGTAATTTTGGGAGGTTTTGGTCATTCAGTACTTTTTTACATTGTTGTTGTGGTGCATTTTCTCTTCTCTGTCCTAATGCTTTACCAGATAGCAGGTATGTTAAGTTCTCAAAATAAAATCAGACTTCCAGGCTTTGTCTTCAGATTTGGCTCAGGGTGATGGGTTTGGCCTGGTGCTTTGGTTTTGCTCTTTCAAACTGGAGTGAAATAGTTCCTTTGAGTGTAACTCAATGTATTTACAAGGATGTAAATATATTTAGCCATTCCTTCTGAAGCTCTTGCTTGTATTGGCACGTGTTTTTCTTGGTAAAACTGAACTTACATATCTGTAGCTAACAAACATGTTCCAGCAAATCAGGTCTAAATGGTAGACCTGTATTTACCGATTACCATATGACAAGTAACAGTAATTTAATAGTCATTAACTATTTAGTGCAGTTATTTTTAATTGCAGTTATTTTAATTGTGGGTTTTTTGTGTTCATTTATGCAGCTTAAGAGTGAATTTGACAGACTGTTTGAGGATCTGAAGGAAGATGATAAAACCCGTGAAATGGAAGCAGCAGAGGTATTTCTTAAGCTAGAAACTGTTTTCCTTAAAAGTATAAGTGGTTAAGCATCTAGATATATATTTAGCTCTGTCTGGATACAGGAGATAATTGAATCAGAAAAAAATCTAGTAGATAAAAAAGACTTCATAAAAAAATTTCTTCCAGAAGTGGAATGTCATATTTAATATGAGGGTAATGTGTAACATCTGTTTGGTTTGCAGGCTGTTGGCACACTTTTGCTTCCCCATCAGAAGCAAGCTTTGGCTTGGATGGTTTCACGTGAGAACGGTAATAATTTGCCACCATTTTGGGAAGAGAGAAGTAACTTCTATTATAATACACTGACAAATTTTGCAGAAAAGAAACGACCTAAAAATGTTCTTGGAGGAATATTGGCTGATGATATGGGACTGGTAATAATTGCCAAGCTTGAGGGTGGCTTTTTTTTTTAACAAGATGTGTGTGCGTGTTTCTGGGTTTGATTATTTGGTGTGTTTGCTCTGTGGAAAAGATTGTTATTTTCTGTTTTGCGGGGTAAACCACTTAGTACTATTGCATTGATTCTCACAAATTTTCAAGATAGTAAGCCCCTTCCTGTTGAAAAGATCACAAGTGGCAAGTTTTATGAGGTGAAATGAAAGAAAAAGATTGTCAGTTAAAAATACCTGTGACTTCCTGTATGGTGAACTTTGTATGCATTTCATAGAAAAAGCTATTCAGGTACATCAAATAAGAGGAGTTTGGGTAGATTAATTGAAGGGAGGTAGACTATGTTACTTCAGAGTTTATAGCTGAGCTCTGTTATCTTACAGTATATTCAAGCATACACCCCTAAGGAACAATTTATGAAGGCATATGTGTTTTTGTTGTTAAGTTTTTATAAATTCAGAAGTTTGTTATAGATTTCTCCTATAGGCAAGTTGTGGCTGCACAAATAGAAGTGGTGCTTTTTCTGAGATTGTGCATGCGTAACTCCTGAGTGGTTTGGAGGAAGTACCTGAAATAACCAAAACAGCAAGCACAGGGTCTTGGTGTAAAGTAAACAAATAAATCTTGGTTTATATTTTTGCCAAGTATTTGAAATGAAGAGAGGAGGGGAAACTACAGCTAGTGAACTAGCATCGATGTACAGAGTCTTCCTAGGTAGTGTAGTTCAGGTGTTCTTTGCTCTCATTATCATACAATTTTCAAGATGGTGAAATAAACTAAATGCTAGAATCAGGTAATGTTCCATGCAGTATTCCCTGACAGTGTTCAGGCTGGGGGACTGTGTTGTTTTACCACACTTGCCTGAATTTAACAAAATAATGTGTTTTGCTGTCAGAATGTTAACTGGGAAATGTTGTTAGTGTGTTTTCTTTCAAAGGCAGCTGTGTAGACTGAGTTTCTCCTCTGCCTCTCTGCAGTTTCATTTGAACCCTGTATGTGACTACTGAAAAAAACCAGTCTTTCAGCACCTTTAAGTGACTGACTGACTTGCCACCAAGCCAAGTCCTCCATGTTTCAGAGCAGTAATTAGTCAGTGGGCAGTTAAGTGTAATAATGTTGGCATTTTTTCCAGTTGCTTCATTAAAGAATAAAAGTTTCCATTCCTTGATAGGAATCTGGTACTAACAGCATGAACAGCGTTGGACGCAGACTGTGTGAAGGTGACAGCAAACTGGTCTAGTAATGCTTGTGTGATAATTAATGTGATTTCCTGGGGCACTCCTGGTCTGTGGTCAGTGCTACTCTTCACAAACTCTTGACAAACTGAGTGTCTTGGAGAAGTAATTAAAACACACCTTTAAAGATGTTTCAGTTGATGCATGGTTGATTAAGTGCCTTGTGATAAAGTTGCACTGTGCTAGGAAAGGTACCGCATTCAGGAAATAGATTCTGAGAGCTTTTTGCTTTCCTTTTTCCTTCCTTGCAAATAAAACAGAAGCACTGATGTATCTCTTAGAATCTTTCTTACTTAAAAAGTAAACATTAGTAGTTAATTTGTAATTGGGTTCTGTATTAAGTCACTTTTTTGGAAACTATTTTAAAGTAATGAGGAAATTAGAAGGATTTTAGTAGTTTTCAGGTTGTATTAGGAGAATTTATAGATGTATATTATGTGCTGTTAGTATGTTTTGTAACTTGTCATGCTCTTGAAAATGACTGAAGAAATGTATGGGGCTTGAAGCTTTCTTGCAGTATGTTTCCCTCACTGTCCTGTGCAAGGAATTTTAATATGGATAGGCTAACTGATAGCACATGAAAAATGAAAGGGGCACATTAGTGTGAACTGCCTCTGGTGAAAGTTAGTTTTGTCAGTGCTCTGGAAGAGAGAAAATGCATGTTTTCATGGAGGTGAATACGAATGTCACCAGAAGATCATAGCTTTACCAAAGCTGAAATGGCTGGCGGCATCCAAGAAAGTAATTCATTTATTTTTTCCAGAGCATCAAGCATTTTAACAAGATAGTGTTCACAGCAGTGAGAGCCTCTTTCTGATACTTAATTTGAAAAAGTGGTGAAAATGTCTTTCAAAATTATATACCCTTTTGCCCCCGTTTCTCATTCTTTTGTACATTAAATTGATACCTCTTTCTTGAATCTTTGCAAATTTTGCCACCTTCAAGATTTTATTAAACTGTCTTTTAATTCTAAAAATATGCACTTATCTTAACTGATGTTTAGATCTGGAATTAGAGTGTGAATTTACTTACCTGAGTTACAGCACAACTGTTTCTGCAAGCAGTGTTGCTTTGTTTTGACGTGAACTCCATTTAGTGCTTTTTTGTTTGTATTTGCTTCTGATATCCTGTTTTCCTGTCTTTTTCAGGGTGCTGAGGTGATGTTTTGTTCAGCACTTGACAGAAGACCTTAAAAAATTCCAAGAAACCAGACATCTCCCCTGCAATCTGTGATGTTACCAGATTATTTTTTTTTTTACTGAAGGAAGGAAAGTCTAGGTTGGATGTGTGAAAAAAGGTTTTATTGTGAGGGTGGTAAGACAGTGGCCCAGGTTGCCCAGGGAGGCTGTGGCTGCCCCAACCCTGGCAGTGTTCACAGCCAGGTTGGATGAGCCTTGAGCAACCTGCTCTGCTGGGAGGTGTCCCTGCCCAGGGCAGGGGGTTGGGACTAGATGACCTGTAAGGTCCATTCCAGCCCTTAATTTCTGTGATTCTATGATTTTTTTCTGTTAATGTTGCTCTTATTAATTTGAATTTAGGCAGGGTAGATGTCATTACTAGTAGGGTGTGACCTGTAAAATACCTTTACATTCAGTGTTGCTGAAAGTGTTACCCTAACTGTTAATTGGCACAGTGCTTACATTTGCTTTCTCCTATTTTCTTGACAGTTTGTTTTTGACTACCTGCAAACTCAGTACATATTTTATGACTTTGTGAATATTTCAGACTGTTTTAAGAAGATTTATCATTTGTGATGGCTGTATCAGCAACTAGTACTCATCACATGCAGTGCTAAGTGTTGTTAAACAGCTAAAGGTTGTTTTAATGGAAGTTTGTACTTGTTTCAGCTTATGCTAAAGCTGATCACCAAGCTGAAGACTATGTATATCTTTCATTAATACCAATTTCTTCTTTAAGAAGACTCTAGCAGTGTGATGGAGCCTGGTGATTCTCATGTGAAAAAGTTTGGTGCTACTCTGTTGAAAGACTCGAGTTGTCTTCCTGAAAGGTAGAGACTTGGAATAATCTTTTTCTTTGTTCGGTTTGCTGCATAGGTTTTGAGTAAAAATAAGGTGGTATTTGGATATGATTAACAGCCTAAAATGTGTACCTGCTCTCTTCGTCACCTTTCAGTGAGCTATGCTTCTGCTCACACTTTTAAGTGTGCTGTGTTTGAGTTGCACTTTGGGATGTGTTGCAAAGTACTAACTTGTTCTGTGTGGCTTTCATGACTGCATGCTTGGATATCTCCTACAGCAGCAAAGGTGTCTAGGACCGTTGGTGTGTGGTATCTTAGAAACTGGCTATGAATTAATCTTGCTTCTAGTATCAGTTGGGTTTTTCAGTGGTTAAGAAATATGCTTCTGACATAGTCAGCTTTGTTCTGATGAAGTTCTGAGGCTTATTAACGTGTCTGAACCTTTCCACCACACGCCTTGTAATTGATGTGAACTTTGCTAATAATCTGTTGCATGTTTTATGAGCATTGTTTACCCTGCAGCTCTGTTCTGTGCTTTCGGTTTTTCTAACCCTTCTAAGGAGGAAATTGTCAAACCACAGTGGTATCTTATTTGTGAAATGAAATTAATTTGCTTTATGCTTTTGAGATTTAATATGTAAATTCAAGCTGTAGTAGAGTTGTGGGGTTTTGTTCTGTTTATTTTCTCTTTCTTAATAATAATATATTAGAGATAAAGCCAAGAAACCCAGATATTCAGGAAGCAGTGACTTAGAAGAGTCTGAGGAGAGGCTACTGCAGCAAACAGAAAGTAAATTGCAGGGATGATTTTTTGTTTCTCTAAATTGGTTACCATGACACCTGGTGTCTTCCTTTCTGAAGCCAAACTGAAAAGGATTTCTAATTAACTGAAAAATAAGTTAACTAAACTGCTTGGGTGGGTTGTTTTTATTGGCTTTTCTTGGTGGTTGTTTTGTTTGGGGTTTTTGTTTACCCAAAACTTCAAGCAGAAAATTTTAGAAATTGATGAATGGGAAAGCAATCATTTAGTCCTAAGTGTTGCAGTTTGTTTTCTTAGCGGAGTGAGTGGTGGTGTGGCAAGCTATGAGCAGGGTCAATAGGATGATGAAAAACAATGGCTAAGATTTTTAGAACTTGACATAGACTTGTTGTGAAGAGACTGGGGTTGGAAAAATATCTTTTGTCCACCTTTTGTGGCAAATATCTGAAATGTGATCATGAAGAGGCAACAACGTGTCACTTTTTGAACTAAGTATCTTGCATGGAAAGAAATATTGAGATCTACAGGTGCTCTGGAGTAAGCTGTTAAGTTTAGGCTTAAAGTACTTGAAGTAAAACCTATGCTAAGCTATGTATTTTTAATGACTTGTAAACTGCATTCCTCTGAAGAGTCAGTACATGAAATAGATGTATAATATACTGTATTTCTGCACGCGTGTATGTCAGAGCTCAAGGAAGGTCTGGTGGATGATGCTTTTAGCCATATGGTTTAGTTTAGATAGTCCTATGAGAAGCAGGGAGTATGATTTGATGATCCTTATAGGTCCCTTCCGACTCAAGATACTGTTATAGTATTGGAGAGGAGAAGTAGTTTGGTTAACATGAAACATGTCATAGAAATAGATATGGACGTATGCTCTGCATGGTGTAAAAAATCTGTTTCTTTGGCTTTTTGCAGCAACTTCATGTGTTACCCGAGAAGATAAAGGTTTTGCACCTGTTCTTCTACCTTCATCTAGTTGTTTAAAAAGATGAACAAAGAGAAAAGGTAATGAAGGGCTAAACAGACAATATTAACTTCTTCGTTTTTTGAAGCAGTAGTATTAAACATATTTGGTGTAATAAATGAATCTTATGTCTTTGTAAATTGCTTTGAAGCTGGTCAGGTGAAGATGTTTAGAAGGAACTTAAGGGATCCTTAAGTTTCTTGAACTTCTGCTTTGCTTGAAAGTGAACTGTTATGCCACTAGGTGACTTCTATTTCCTCAAGTACCACTAGTGTTCAGTCAGTTGGGAAGAAATATTCTGATGATGGCCCCAGAGCAACACTGATTGTATGTCCACTGTCTGTCCTAAGCAACTGGATTGTAAGTGCTAAGCTGTTTTAATATGTAATTGTAATCTATATTGATTATGATACTGCAGAAACAGTACTCTCTGTAGTCTCTCCAGAGAGTAAAAGGTCAGAAATCAAATTGTTGATTTTTATTGGTTGTCAAGGTTACTGTATGCTGAGTCCTTCATAGAATAAATGTAGGTAATATAAACACTGGTTTTACAATTAATAAGAAATGTAGGTAGTTAACCCAGTAAGGAGAAGAACCAGTAAATGAACAGTGAAATAACAAAGAGCTGTTAAAGGTAGAAAGTGAAGAAGAACAAAAAGCTCTTCCTTTACAATTTGGGAGGAACAGTGCGTTTTGAAGTGCTCATGCCATCAGGATGTAAGTTAATGCCATGCAAGAGGTAAAGCCAGAGTTACCAGAACGTGATACTGAGGTGACTACTTCTGGTCCCTCTTCACATCTGGGTGGAGAGGCAAAAGGAAACCCAAATTCAAATTGCTGTTGTTATATGAGTGGATGTAGAATGTCACAGAGCTAGAGTTTTAGTTAAGGCAACTTACAAGAACAGTCTTACTATTGGTAACTTAGAAGAACAATAATTCTAACAGTCATGCGGTAACATAGTATCTTTTGGATGACCTTTGACAGCTTTTCTTTCAGGACCAGTTTGAACAACATATCCACTAAGATTTTAATGTGAATATTTATGTTTATTATAGTTCTTACCGTAACAAAGACACATCAGTTCTTTCAGAACAAGACATTGTATTGACAACGTACAACATCTTAGCCACTGATTATGGAGTAAGTAGATGAGAGAGCTTTATTTGAAGATTCCTTACTGTTCAAGACTTGGAATGTTTGGGCTAATGATGACAATATATTCAAGTGCCTTTCTGGAGGGCAGTCAAAAGGTTATAGCTGTGCATTTGCATTACATGAATCCTTTTGTGTTCACTGTGGTAACAGTTTTTTATTGACTGCTCATGTAGAGCAAATATTTGGCTACAGTTATGACAGAGTAAGGAAAAGACATTTTAAGGATAGAAAATGATGGCAGGTATGCAGATCTCAGACCTTGGTGGCATGAAGCTCCCATTTCTGCCTTCCTCTACCAAATTCAAAGACTATGGAGCCTATAAAAGTATAATTTCATAGTTCTTGTTGCATTTGGGCTTCAACCAAGTAGCTCATTGCATGAGATGTATTTGTAAAGTCATGTTTTCATAGAAATTACCACCATTTTTTAAAGCCTGAAGATTATATCTTTAAATATGAAAACTAAAACTTTTAGTTTGCTCTCTGACCCATTTTCCCTATCGCTTTCTGTATCTTTGAAGTTTTTCTTCTTTTCAGGCTTAGCTTATTTTTGCTGTAGCGCAAGTATGACAAGATTGGTAATGTTTTTCAGGAATCATTAGCTTCTAAAAGAAGGAAGGTCTTACGTTTAGTTTTGCCTCTCTGTGCCAATAAAGAAACAAGATGGAAATAAATACTATACATTATTGTAGTACTGTTGTATTAATAGCTTGCTTAATAAAAAGGTATTTTAATTTGAGTCAAAGATGCTGTTTTTCAGGTCAGAGGTGATAGCCCTTTACACAAAGTCAGGTGGCTGAGGGTTGTGTTGGATGAGGGGCACACTATACGAAATCCCAATGCTCATCAAACTAAAGCTGCCTTAAATCTGGAGGCACACAGAAGATGGGTGCTTACAGGTAAACTATTTCTCACTAGAGGAAATGCAGTGTAAATCATCTTAGTATAACACCATCTTGTGTTTCCCACTTGGTCATTCTGCTTTGGCTTTTTCTTGGAAATGGTTACCTCAGATTCATTTAGAATGTTTTTAATCATGTCTTTGAGCAGTGATTTAGTTGTGTTGTCTTTTAGTGGATTTTGATTTTGTTTGCTTGGTTTTGTGGGGTGGTTTGTTTTTTTTGTGGGTTTTTAAGTGTGGGTTTGGTTTGATTTTCTTTGGTTTTTTTTTTTTTTTTTTGGGGTGGTGGTGGTGGTGGTGATGTTTTCTGTTCAGTTATTGAGGTGATATCCCACCAGAGATAGTCAGGAACTACCTGGATCCTATGCCATGGATGGCCCTGCTTGAACAGGGAGGTTGGACCAGGTGAGACCCACTGTGACTTCCTGCTAACCCATTCTGTGATTGCACACAAAATTCAAAATAACCTCTGATACACAAGTTTGTTGGAAGCACAAGTGAAAAGGGATCTATTTATGTTGGAGTCTCATACTGATACATACTTATCCAAACCTCAGTAGCTTTATGAAATGTAATAGGCATCATAAAAACTGCCAGGGACCCTGCAGGCATATGATCCTTAAATGTAATTTAAAGACCATTGTGTAACCTCTGCTGGTGAAACTGAAAGGGAAACATTAACAGGCTAATACTCCTAGCACTTAGAGCTGCAGTTTGCTCAATCATATATTTAAGTTTTTTGTAGTATTTTACTTAAAAAGAATGATATGTATTATACTTAATGACATGTCAACTTAGTTTTGGGATCAGGCAAAAGCACACAACTTGCCTTTAAATAAAATTTGTGCATTTTAGTTTCTTTGTGGTTTTACAGTCTTTTGTTTTCTGTTTAGGCACCCCTATTCAGAATTCTGTAAAGGATTTGTGATCTCTTATTTCTTAAAACTGAAGCCTTTTATTGACCAAGAGTGGTGGCACAGAACAATTCAACGTCCAGTCACAATGGGAGCTCCAGGAGGACTTGGGTATGAAGTGTCCCCAAAGGGTTTGTGAATGGATATGACTGATAGTGCTTAGACAGTGTGAACAGTTAGTGTTTCACATTTAAATATGAAATGCATATGTCACCAGTTCTTATTTCAATTTTTTGTTCAAATTAATAAATATTGAATAATTCGAATAATTTAATATTTCAGATTAATGAATTATATTGTACTACTGGGCTTGGATTTCATACAGAACATGCATTTATGCAATAAACTGAAGGAAAAAAGCTCCCCCAAAACTAAAGCAACCCCAGCTGGGTAATATATTGTCCATGTGCGTGTTTTCAGTCGTTTACAGTGTCTGATTAGGGGTATTGCCCTTAGAAGAACTGAAACGAGTCAAGTTAAAGGAAAACCCATTTTGGAGTTACCAGAACGTAAAGGACTTAATTCAGCATGTTGCACTTACAGAGGAAGAGAGACAAATCTACCAGTCTGTGAAGAAGGAGGGCAAAGCTGCTATTGGCAGGTGAGTGGGAAGCTTTCTTAATCCTGAAGGTTGAAACTTGATACCACAAACTTGTATTTCAGAAGTTTTGATTCTGGTAGCTCTAGCAGCCATGTGTGTCAGTCTGTGTGTTGTAAGCTAATGATTGCAAACGAGTGTAGCATCCGTTCAGTTCTGAAGAGAGAAGCAGAGGCTATTGCAGAACTATAATATTGGAAGTTCTGTCTTGCAAGAAATGGAAAGAGGTACCAGATATGTAAAGAGTGGCCTGAAAATTCTTGTCACCACATGTTAACATTTCTGCTAGCAGAGCATGCTACTTGGTGGCATTTTGTACCTTGTTTCAGAAGAGGATTTGTGAAAAATGTAGTCAGACGGAAAAGTGAAAAATCAGAACAGCTAAACTCTATCATATAACGTCATCCATTACCTCAGGCTGTAGCATTTCACACTAGTGACAAAACTCTTGTTCAGGTTTTGTAAGCCATGTATTTTCGAAGTCGTCAGAAATGAACAAGTTGGTTGTTCTATGGTTGTAGTTAATCGAAATAGCTATCAGAAAGCAGTGAGCTGGTATCACCAGAAGGCCATCTAGTTATTGTTCTTTTAAATCATGATAAACAGTGTAAACCAGGCTATCGCCGGGTTATAAAAACCATTGGCCTGAAGTCAAACTGTGGAGAGTGTAGCTGTCAGACTGAACAGTGGTAAGGTCCATCAGTATTTTCAAAGACCTGTTCCATAGGTCTCACCCTACTTTGTCCCTGTGATGCCGAGAAAAGCTGTAGAAGAAACTACTCCCAGCCTTGTATCTCTGAGGAGCAGATATTTGTTTATTCAGCGCAGGGCACAAGGGGGATCGTTCCACCAAACTTGTGCAGCCAGGGGCAAAACTTCATGGTTTTTTTTATACATTCCTTCCAGAGATGGGTGGTCAATATTATTACAATTAGTTCTAAAAAAAATCATTGGCACATCCCCTTCCTCAACCTGCACATCCCCCTCCTCAGCCCTTTAGGGCATACTTCCCCTGTCTTGATTATCTCTCCCCTTTATTCACTCAGCAAGCACTCCCTGGCCCTTTAGAGCTTTCTTCCCTTTGTCCACTAGTCAGGCATTCCCCAGCCCTTCAGGGCTTTCTTCTCCTTATCACCTAGGGTAAAAGTGTGCAGCAATGCATACCTCCATATGGCTGGATGCCTCTTCATTGCTTTTGGGTGATGTAATGGGTGTATATATCGTTGTGCTTTAAAGAGACTAAAGCTGTGTATTGGAAATTGACTGTTGAACTAAAATGATGTCTGCACTCCTTTTTCCAAGCTGATAAACTACAGTGCAATAGCTGCCTCGCTGGAAGGCCATCTTTATGGCGTTTCTCTGGACTTTCTCCAGAATGAGCTGGTGGATGAGTGTCTTTTGCTTTTTTGTAAAACAGAGTATTTATTTTTCTTGTGTGCTTCTAAGCTGTATTTTTCCTTCTTGTTTGCCCTTTCCTTTCTAGGGCAATATGATAGTGTGGTAGTCTCGTGATCTGTATCCAGTGCTGCTGCACTTACTCTCTGGAATTATTCTGCCTCCTCCTGAGCTGAGCAGAGCTGCAAGTGTGAGCCTACGCCTGGGTGATATTCTTGATTAGCAGGCAGCAGAGGACAGATTAGTCTCTACTTGTGTATAATCCATCAACCTAATAAGACAGAGGTTAGAAGTGTTGTTTGTCTGTCTGTCTTGTAGATTGCCAGATACACAAGGTTCTGATGCAGATATCCTACGCTAGAGTTTCTGAGAAATTGTGAGGGGAAACTAGTGATGTGAAGTTATTCTCTAAGGAAAGAGCACTTGCAGAGACTCTTTTGCAGTGTAGAGGTTCTTGATGCGTCTGTAGCAGAGTCAGTGTCCTTACTGAACCTTCAGTGTCTTACACATGCAGAGAAATAAATCGGGTTACAACGTGATGGAATTATCGCAGTATATTACTTGACTGTCAAGTCATCAAAACAAAAACATAGTTATTACTATGTTTTGCCTAGAAAGGATGGTGGAATCTCCAGAACTGGTGCCTTTGTCCAGTCTCCTGTTGTTCCATAGGTTGATTTCATAGTAATGAAGGCTGAACAGAGGTGGATGTAGATTCTGCTCTTTTGTACTAAAATAGTAAGTGAAATAAGCCTTTCTTATCTTCAAAGTGATTCCTGGTTTAAATCAATTCCCAAGGAAGTTTATGCAGCTTCCAGCCAAAACACCAACACACATCTAAATTCCCGAGTCAGGGAAATCACTTTTTCAGCATGATAGGTGTTTGTGCTAGTATTGCATCTCAGTTGGGCAGTTCCTGTGCCTGAATGATTACAATGCAACTCTCTCCTAGTAAATACTTCTGGAAAGTACTTTACATACCACCTTAAAAGCAAAGAAAACCAGCAAACTGCATACCCTCTCCCCAGATCAGCTTGGGTTGAAACAGGATTCCTCCAGGCAAGATGCCTGTGGTTTCCATTATTATTACAAACATTTACATTACAGCATTAAGCCATCAGTGAGGAATGAGATGTGAATCTGCAAACACAAAACTGCTGAGTGAAAAGTTTGGGCTTTCACTGTATTAAAACAGTCTCTGAGTTCATATCTTTCTAATGTTAACCTAAAAGTCTTCTATTGAAATCAGAAAATCTATTTAGTAGTTAATAGCTTGAGAATTAACATCCCCTTCATTTTAGTCTTCTGCTGAGGCTAGATTCAGAGTTGCACGAGTAAGTAAAGATCCTACGCAAAATTCCCAATGAAGCTATAGAATCTCTACAGTAATTTAATGTCTCTGTGTATTAACTGCATTCTTGTTAAAGCTTGCCAGATACGCATTAAAATGTGGGGTTTTTTCTTTTAGCTGTTGATTGTGAGACAGTTTGTCATTTTCATATGCTTTTACCACAAGTCTTTGGTATCTGTGTTGGCATTGCTCAGCTGTGTTTTGGGTTTTCAGTTTATAATTAGTATACTAAAGTGGAGAAGGGATGCAGAAAGATGTGAGCCTTTTATTAGAAAAATAAGTCTTTATGAGCACTGTTGGGACTTTTTCATATTTAATAGAATTCATTTATTTTGTCTTGTCACTGGGAGGGTATTTGGATTGCTGGCAAATCAGGAATGGTTCATTTGTAACTATGTTTGGGAGACTATTATTTCATATTTGCTTGTGTTAAGATTCTGTCTCTTGAAAGGATATCTTTATTGCTGCAATAAATTCATGTATTTAGTCTATGACTGGCAGCCTCTTTAACTGTCTAGCAGTTCATTCCAGATTAGCAGCTCCCAGTATTCGTGTGCTTTGTGAGGTCTGCTTTGCAGCCTGTCTAAAGATGCCTTGATTCTGTGGCCAGATTGCTATCTAAACAGTTAGCTAATTTTAAAGGGTTGCTCTGTTAGCTAAAGGTTTTTCATGTCTGTCACTTTTGCTTCACAAAGTTGTGTTTGTACAGCACACAGTCTTTTGTTAAATTTTGTGAGTAGTCATATGAAAGTGCTAGTGTATAAATTCTGCTTTATCTAAAGTATACTTCAGAGAAAAAAAGCTTTTGGTGTTAAATTATGTCTCATTTCTCCTGTCTGTTTTGGAAAAAGAGAAGATACCCCGTGTCTGGTCCTGACAAAGCATATTTCATCAGACTGCTATTATTTCTGTGCAGGCTTTGAAGAAAAAGGGTAAAAGGTCATTCTTTGTTTGTAACTAAGAAAGATCTTGTCTTTGAAAGATGGCTTATTTTTCTGGGTTTTTTTAAATAGTCTTCCCCCCATTGTCCAACTGTTTGCTTGCTTTAAAATCTTGAGCTGCTTGCTTCAAGTATAAATTGCTCAGAAAGAGGAGCACTTTTTATGGAAGGCTGACTGTTTTTAAAACATGCAGTGTTCATGTCATGTTAATGTGTATTTTGACTGTCATGTTGGAAATGACAAAGCAGTGTGTTACAAGAATGAATCTTTAAGGATTTTTATATGAACGTCAATATAATAAAGGTGCTTTGAAAGGTCATCTTTAGTATCACTATAACTAATTTGATTTAATATGTTTCTTGTAACATTGTTTGGGCTTTTTTGTAGCCAAATGCCAGATGCCCTCTCTGTAGGAATGAGCTTGGAGTAGAGCACTTGGTAGAATGTCCCCTAGAAGAAGAAATAGACTCCAGTAATGGAAAGAAGCCTGATCAGGAGTGGATATCTAGTTCAAAGGTACATTCCATTGTCTTTTACTTAGTTTTCATTATGGTTTTCTAGAGGATACTGTATAATATCCTTGTGTAAATATGGTGAACATATTTTGCATATGGATAACATACTTTGTTTAGAAGTCTGCACAACATGTCTGGCCAGCACAGGAGAAAATGCATAATAAAATTGCACCACAAACAAATCTTACAACAATTATTCCTTTTGTCTGGTTTCCCTGCTGCAGTTTGATGCTGGTCATTGTGCAGTACATGGAAGTGTATTAGTGAAATAAAACTTTTGGCAAAGAGCTTTGCCTTTTGTTTCTGTTTCTGAAGACAGAGCAGTTTTATAACGACTGAAACTTATTCAGCTATCTCTTAATTTTGGAAACTAAATAAATCCTTCTTTCTTAAATCGAGTATAAAAATTCTGTTCTAGAGGGGAAAACCTATATGAGCATCATGTGTTCAATATAACACTTCTCAGATAAACTACTGAGATCTTTATTTTGCCTTGCAGACCTGTTTCTCAAGGTCTGCCACATCATTCTTTTGGCCTTGCTCTCATCATGCATTTGCTGCCAGAGATTAGATCTTCCTGTTTGTACTTTCACCTGTTTGTTTTGAGATTGCTTTTCTGAAACATTAAGTTTTTGACTTTTAGTGTTGGTTACAAATTTATTCCCTAAAAGTCTTTCCGTGGAGGAGATCTAAGAACTAATTTAGGAGATCATGCTCGAGAATAAATTAAGATTCTTTTTTTTGTCCCCTCTTCCCTGGTGCATTTACTTGCATTCTCTAGTTAGTATAGCTAAGCCTTACTTGAGATAACTAGCAGTGGTGTTCTGCCTCAAATCCAATTCCTTTTGTTCTTACATTAGTTCCAAGAGTGCTTCTGGTACCTCCTTATCCTGTCATACCTAGCCAAGGGTCTTGCATAGCTTATTTGCCTGAGTATTTCTGGGGGAAGCCTTTCTCACTGTGAGTCTTGCTATAGTAGAGCACTTTCCTTGTGACTGTCCATTGCTTAAGCCGTATTTTTCAGAGTTCCAGTACTATGTTCCTGTTTTCCATATACTCAGAAGGTAGGGGACTTGCTGACTCCCGACAGTGGGAAGGAAGTATTGTCTGGAAAACGGTTGTAAATCCTCTTCCCTAACGCACCCTCAATCACCCCCTGGTCTGTGACTATTAAAAATGCTCAACTCTTAAGTTTCCTATGGAAACGGAAAGAAATCTACCCACAGAATTCAATATTAGTTCATGTAAAAGGTATTACAGAACTGTGATTTCTATCAGCTGATGTGAACCTTATCAAAGCCACCTGTGGGAGTGGATTCTAGCCAAGTCAGAGTAAGTTTATTTTGTTTCAGATAAATGTTTCGCTTGATTTCAGATAAATGCTCTTATGCATGGTTTGACAGAACTACGGAGGGATAATCCAACTGCTAAGTGTCTGGTGGTTTCGCAGTTCACAGCTTTCCTGTCACTGATAGAAAATCCCCTGAAGTAAGTAGAGCTACTGTTATTTTTAAAAACCATGTGTTTTTACAGTGTTTTAGAAAGGCCTCTGGAAGAAAACAGAATTTTAAATACGCATGTCAAAGTAGAGGTCAACAAGATGGGTTGTTAAATTGAACATTTTTACTTTCTCTTCAGAGAATCGCGGTTTGCCCTTACTCGTTTGGATGGGTCAATGGCACGGAAGAAAAGAGTGGAAGCAATTCGGTGTTTCCAAAGCAACCAAGCAGGGTCCCCAGCTGTAATGCTTTTGTCTCTGAAAGCGGGTGGAGTTGGATTGAATCTGACAGCAGCTTCCCGAGTGTTTTTAATGGATCCTGTGAGTAATGGATTGTTCAAAATGATCTGGCTTAATCTAGATGAAAGCTCCTTTTTCCTATGGGGTAGAAGGAAAGACCCTCTGAGAGTGAATGACACTAATGAGTGTCTGTTAAAGGGCAAATAGGGCTTTCCTTAATTTGTTTCCCTGGCATCTTTTGTTTTAACACTATGTTTTTGTGCTGTCCACTTATTTACCGTGAATGGAAAGAATGTTAGTGGTGCTACTAACAGAGTGGTGTGTAGCATATATTATCTGTTCTTTATTTCTTTCTCTTTCTTTCTGATACTTTTGCATGTGGTTTTCTGTTTGTTCTGTTTAGTAACTTCAAAAGCCATCAAGTGGAATTTCAGGAACAGCATATATTTAATGCAGTGCATCTCTGCTCTAGTCTCTTCTGTTATTGTTGTGAATTTAGTTATGAATAAAGGCATTAGTCTGAGGTTACTTTTTGTGGCCATAGGAGACTGGTAAAATACCTAAATTTATCAAGTTTTTTTCCTTTCATTAAAGCACTCAGGAATACGAAATTATTTGTAAGGAATAAATTTAAATTATATTTATTGATAGCAAATGGTGTTCTTAACAGAATTGGTTCATGTTGTGCTGGGCCACTGTTCGAAGTTGAAGTTTTTCTGTTCACTTCCTCCTGGTTCATGTTGTGCTGGGCCACTGTACAAAGTTGAAGTTTTTCTGTTCACTTCCTCCCTTGCCCACTGTTTACTCTTCTGCTCTGATATCCTAGTTTTTTGGCAGTTGGAAAGAGAGACAAATTCTGCACTTGGAAACAAAACCAAAGTAAATTAAAATAGTAGTGTAGCTTTGGACTTGGGTATCTGTTAACACCAATAGTAAAGCAAAAGAACTAGCTTGGACATGAGGTTAGTGATAGGAACAGCATGAAGAAAAAAGCTATTTATTTCATAAACTAGAGGAATTAAGTATGACTACGAATATGGAGAAGTTGCCATGGGAAAAGGTGTTTCACGAATCTCAATACAAATACATTGTTTCTCTATGTGTTGCACTGATGGTTTTGGTTGGAAGGGACCTACCATAGAACGGTGCCATCCAGTCCAACTGCTTGGGTTTATTTTAGACAATTCTCTTTTTTAGTTTTACGTGTGAAGATAATGAATGAGGTATAAGGTATACACTGTATTGCAGCAAGCAGTTGTAAGAAAATAAGCTAAGCATTGTTAACACTGAGACATCTACAGTATGTAGTTATACCTGACAAACCAGAGCCAAATATAATTGCAGCTTTTATACACCACTGAACAGTAACTTCTCATCCTGCTGGTAACCATTCTGTGATGGTAACAGTCCCAAGTGGCAGTGGCTGACTACTTGTATTTGATGAAGGGACAGTGGGACCACAGGATCCTTTCTGATCTCACCTTTGAATATTCACTGCTGAATGAGATTCAGTCATGCATTAACATTCCTTGAAGTGCATTAGCAGCAATAATAGGATTTAAGAAGCAGAAATACCTTGAGCCAGTGGAGCAACCAGTTTTTCAAATTCTGTAGGTTTGTTGTAGAACTTTAGCTTTGAGGTCTACATTCTTTCTGTGTGGTGTAATGCCGCAGTGCAAAGGAGGAATGTTTAGCTAATGACAATTACTTTCTCCCCACCCATCCCCCCTTTTTAAAAATTATTAGTTTGTTTATTTAAATACAGTCATAGCTGCTGAGTTCTCACTTCTAGGAAGATACACGAACATTTACTGTGAGAATATCACAAGTGTACTGTTGTTTCTCTGAGGTTCAAGGGTCTTCATATTTTCCCATGTAAAATACAGTATCCTTTGTATGAGATATTGCAGAAAGGCACAGAGGTAGTGCAATTCAATTTTCCTTTGTTGGACTAATGAGAAAAGACAAAGTAGTACACTTTGGTCTTCCTTGACTACAGTAGAGAGAGAATGGAACATGCTTCTGCATGCTTGGGCTAGCTCTTTCCTGCAGACATCATCTTGCTCATAGAGTGAGGTTAATGTTAGAGTGGTTTGCCATACATAGCTCAGGAGCGTTCATCTTGTAGTACAAATATATCATTTGTTGCACTTTTGCTCACTACCATAGATTGGAGAAACATGACTTGTTTGGGTTTTATCTTGCAGCTTGATGTCTTTGAGTGTGCGGAGGCATCAGAGGTTCTTAGAAGCTATTTTTTGTGCTAGCCTGGTGCTGTTTTCTCCCCCCTTCTGTAGAAAGAAAGGAGTCATTAAGAAGTGTTCTTAGATAACTCGCAGTATTGTGAGTGATGTGGCAAGGTGAGCCCATTGCATGAGACTTGCTCAGACACAGAATCAGAGACAGAATATTATTACAGTTCAGGTAGATTTTAAGTATCTGTTCTATGAGAACTAGTAGTGCTGTATCTTTAGACAGAAAAAAAACGTGGAAAAATGCAGAGACTTGGCACTTCACAAATCCTTTATGTAGTTTTGCATCCTAAGCATAAGTAAGTAGGAACAGCTACACTGTCACTTTGTGTTCAACAAGTTTCTTGCTTACCTAACATGGTGATTATTGCATGTACTAATGAAAGACTACATGGATGTTTTTGAAAGTCCAGGGACTTGGTTTACTGATAAGTAACTGCGTTCAGCTGGCATAGATTTTGCTATCAGGAAAAGGGTACTGAGGCAGTTAGTATTTCAGAATTAAAATAACCAGAGTGTTTTGATGTCTTCTAGACTCCTAACAGACTTTGTTTTTAAAGCATTTAATTGAAGTTCCTGTTTGTTTTGAATATATAACCAGAAGTTCTCAAAGCTTTCTTTATAGTGGGATACTTGAATGAGACATTAGGTTGGGAGTAATTAATCTGTAAGCAGTGTTTGTTCAATATCTGCTTTGTGATTCCCTGTGCATATTACTGTGTATTTTGAAGGGAGGTTACTTAACTTGTTCATTGATGCTGCTAATAGGTGTGGAATCCTGCTGCAGTAGACCAGTGCTTCGACAGGTGTCACAGGCTGGGTCAGAAGCATAATGTTGTTACTACCAAGGTGAGTTGAGAGATGATCCCAAGAGTTTTCTGTTTATGAATAAATAGTTATTTTCCGAAAAGGTTTACTTTAAAGGTAATTCTGACATCATAGTCTCGCCAGTGAACATAAATCACTGTGTGACTCTTAAGTGTGGGCTTTGGATTGGAAGATTTTAATATTAGAAATGATATCCCTCTTGAAGTATTTGGAGTGGCTCAGATGGGGTAGTATTGCTGCTGCTGAGCCTGTTACAGTTTATGTTGTAGGTATGTAGAATGCTTCTGCTATTGTCACATTAGCTTATTTAGCTGTGGAAGAGCAGCTGCTCTGCCTTGTTAGTACCCAGTCGCAAAAATATTACTCGGAAAATTGAAGACAGTTTCTCATCTAGTATAAGCAGCAAAGAGAGATACTTCCAGTGAGTGTTTGAAAAAAATAAAAAGGCAAAAAGAAATAAAATGCCAAAGCTTTTCTTCCAGCTGTTTAACAGCTCTTTTCCTTTGTTTTCCTTGCAAAGGAGTAACTGAAAAATGTAACTGGACTGGAGGCTATTCAGCTTCTTGGCATTTTTTCCAAATATCTAAATTTCTCATCCTAAACTTTTATTTAAAAACAGCATCTTCATCTCAGTGGGTGTTTTCCTTTTGTATTTCAGTTCATTGTGAAGGATTCAGTGGAAGAAAATATCCTGAAAATTCAGAGGAAGAAGAGGGAACTTGCAGCAGGAGCGTTTACTACCAAAAAGCCCTCAGCAAGTGAAGTAAAACAAAACAAAATTAATGAAATTAAGGCTTTGATTGATTTACAGCCTGATCCTATGGCATTTTGAGGAATATATTTAATATTTTAGATAATACTGCTCTTCAAGTTAGATCTCCCATGCTAACTTTCAGTTTTGTAGTCTTTGTGGTCAAAACATAAATGCTTCAAATAAATCAGAAAAACTAATTTTCTCCTAAATGTTAAATTTAGAAGCACACAAATTCCTGAAATTTTTCCAGTGTTAAGGTTGCTTGCTGTTTACTTAAGAACACAAAAAAATCCCTTGACACAGAAATACATGTTCATGCATTCTAACTTGCAAGGATTTAATCTCCTTTTAGAGGTGAAAAAGTAATAAAAGGTAAAAGTAATAAAAGGTAAAAAAAATGTGTTTTCTCCTTCAGACAAAACCCTTTAGAAATTAATTGATTTCATGTTTCTATCTCAGTGTTGCCTGATAAACAAAGAGATCATCTGGACTGTTTGTTTTTGGAACAAGTGGTCAGTGGCACTTCATGAGGAATACTTAACTCTTGCAGGCTGTGCCCAAAGATGGTATTTCATTCAGAATTTGAAAAATATTATTCTATTTTCTGAATAATACCTAGGTACAGCTGAGTTCCTCTGATTACTTCCTAGGAGTTAATAAAAAGGAAGTATTTAAGTTTGTAAAACAATGTTTTAATATTTTACTTCTCTTTAGAGAATTTCAATGGCTTTGTAAAAGTAAAGGGTTTTTGATTTGCATAAAATGCTAGAATCATAGACATGTATTGATAACGTGCTTTCTAATAATTTATGTAGACACTGAACAATAAGACTGTGCTATATTGAAAGTACAATATGACCGATTTATGATGGAAGGACAGCATGAACCCCAGTGACTAGTTACCACTGGAAAGTTGACAAAAGAATAAGAAAACAGAGATAAAGCTGATTAAAGTTGGTTGGGTTGGTTTTGGTTTGTTTTGGTTTTTTGCATAAAGTTTCTTTGGGTTTTTTTGGTTCAGATTCTAATATTTAGAGATAAGCTGGCAAACAGTTGGATTTGATTTAACAGTTGGACTTGGTGATTCTAAAGACCTCTTTAACCTCAATGATTCTATGATAAATTTGTGATTATGAAGGAGAGATTTGGCTTTGTTTCATTATTTCCATTTTTCCAAGTTAAAATTCCGCAAGGAAGAGACCCATTTCTATGGCCAGTCAAGCTACATCATCACTTGTGTTAAAATGTGCTGACATTTTGCAAAGTGGCTTAGTTACGATTATGAGAACAACTAAAACCAATTACTAATACCTATCAGATGATGGTTTCCATGTTGCAAAGCCAAGTAAAAACTTACGGAAGGTAGGAGTGAGCTGTATGGCTAGTGAAGGTCTCTCCCAAGAAAGCCATTAATGTATCTGAGAGAACAGACAGAGGTCAAAGCTGAGAACAGAAAAGTCCTGTCTGATTTGATGGAACTGTTCAGTTACTCGGGCAGCTAAAAATCACAGTGTTCTGGCTGGTTGGGGTTATTTCTGCTTCTCATGGTCTGTAAGTAGTCTTTGGATATTGGCATTCTCTTTTTGTGAGGTCTGAACACTATGTTCTAGAAATGAGCTTTTGGAATTACTTTTAATTCCAAAGACTTAATAGTCTATCATTTTGGAAGATTTATTTACCCCATACAAAAAATAAAAATGTAAATTAAAAAAATGCTTCTAAACTTCCTGGAATTGCTCTGAGTTGTCACCATCTAAGGAAGACTTTAGATTATATGCTTTATAAAGGCAAATGAAGTTGCAGTCTAAGCAGTGCTATGATTCTTCTGAGCAGTGATGCTATTGCAAGGGATAGAAAGGATCTCTACTTTTCTGCAAATGTTGCCTGCAGCAGTTATGAAGAAAATAGTGGCAGATAATGGCATAAAGGTCATTTTATTGAAAATAAACTGCATAGAAATTGGTATAGATATCATTCCTTTCACTTTCCTGAGGCTGTGGGTAAACACTTGACGGTAGCATGAGTTACAGAGGCTGGGATAGAATGATTTTTACAAGTTTTCTTTCTTTACTAACTGTATTTGTTAACCCAAAACATGCAGGTTTTCAAATTATTCAGCATCTCTCTTTATCTTAAATTGTTTTAACATAACAAAGCTTACATGCTAAACCAAATTTTCAGGCAGGTAGTAAGTCTTATACTTTTAAACTTTCTTTGTTCTTTCCAACTAAGCTTAAAAAGAATGTGCCTATTTTCTAGTATGAATACAGACAAGGACAGGAAAATTAAGACTGTTTATCTGTCTTTAAAAGAGTATTTACCTTTTTTTGTATAGAGTAGTCTGTGAGCTTGCAGAACTCCAGTATTTGTACTTGTTTGATAAAGTATATTTTTGTCATTACAGACTAACTAGCAATCCCTCCTGCTTTCACACAACTTCAGATTTATCTGTTAAAAAAAAAAAAAGCCAACAACGAACACAGCAAACAAAAAACCCATACAGGAAAGGGCTAGTTACAGCTGGGAGTTCAGATGCAATATATTTTTAAATAGCCTCAAGCTACTTTGGTTTGGACCTCATCTTTTGACATTTTTCCTAAATGGTTAAATCTTAGAGCAATTAAGTAATGCAAAAAGTTAAAACAGACTAACTCTCACACCCAGATTATGTCTTCTGCTTTACCAGCAAGTGGTGAGAGCTTGGTGATTGATTGTTTATTTTATCTCTAGGCTTAAAAGTTTAGGACCCTCATGAGGTTCCAGCCAAAATCCTCCTTTATTAGCATATAATGAAATAATAATTTCTTAGTGTTTCTGGACAAGTACAAGGCATAGGTGTCAGGGACAGAATACTAATTTTGCTGTTTAGACTTTTGGCTGAAGGATAGATATGAAACAGTACAGATATCAGCCACTCTCTGTCATTAGCATGCTTTATTTTTACTGCTTCTCCATGTGTCTTGGAGTATGTGTAGCCTGAGTGTGGCAAAAAAAAAAAGGCACTTCCTTCTGCACACCTGGAAAGAGTAGTTTTCCTAATCAGGGTAGATACAATTACTTAAGCAGCTACATAATCTTTCTTTGCCAAAATAGCATCACCATTGTGTTTAAGACTAAGTTCACAGTGTACAGGGCTTAGGTTAGGGATGATGTTTCTTTCGTCACTTGGAAAGATGCCTTTTTCCCAAACTATATTAATGTAAGTAGCTTCAGCATGTACTTCCTCCACTGCCCTATTGTATATACTTAGGGCAAGCTAATAAGGGGATTGGCCCTAAACAGCTCCATGGCAACTTACTATATACTCTGTAAATAATTACAGAACTAAAAGCTGGACATTTACTAATCATAGCTCGAGTAGCATTAGCAAATCTTAAGGGGTATACCTGTTGAATATTTTAGTTAGACTGCCTTGGGGCTCCTTTTTTTTGCTCTTAATTGCTCAAGAGTTTAGGGAAGACAGAAATGCATTACAACGTTTTATTTTTGTATCAAGTGCAACATTGCAAGGAACAGATAAAACTCAGTTTACTAGTCCCATCGTATACAGAACTGAAAAACGCATTCTGCCATGCTGTAGGCACTGTGCGTAAGAACCTGGTCAAAATTTCAGTGCAATTGTGACTGGAAGAGCAAAGCAGTGCTATTATTGTTACAACTGTATGTATCCCAGTGTCATTAATACATTTATGGTAAAGCAGAATGGCTATCACTCCAGTGTATGAGCAATCCCATTAATTAGATTTTACATCTAAAACAGCAAGCAAAGGAATCAATGCTAATCACCTTAATGAGGTGAGGTAACAAACCCAGTTTCAAGAATATGTTGAGCCAATTGATTACAACAGAAGAAATTTTAAGCTGAAAATACCTGGTTTTATCTAGTAGGGAGAACTGGAAATTGGGCAGTAATAGGTGGCCCAAGGAATTCTGCTTCCTAGCTTTTGCTCAGTCTTCATCTGTAGCACTGCAGAGGCCTTCAGCCAAGAAGTTTTTCATCAAGCTACTAGCAAGTGTAACTGACCACCATCTATATACCTTTCTAGCTGTTAGTTCTGGAACAAGTCCTTGCATTACCACTGTTTGAGACAGGCACTTCTACTGAAGGTAGGTATCAAGTTTCTTCTTGATGTTGTCAAAGGAATCCACTCCCATATAGTCAGCTTGGCCCTGCTCCCACCGTTCCTTGCGTTCTTCTGAAGATTCAGTTGGTAATACTGGTGATATTGATAAGTGGGACACTGCATCTGTAACCTCTGCCTAAAATGAAAGGCGGAGTAAAAATACAGAAATACTTTGCGTAACTAAAATGAGCAACAGGCCATAGAATGGGACAACAAAATAGATGTTCTCATGCACAGCAGCAAACATTGACAATGGGCAGGGATTGTGCAGCTTTTCCTAGCAAAATAACAAAGCAGAGTTACAAAAGTTAGCAAGGGGGGAAAAAAAGGAAAATGTAAAGTTTAAGTTCTTCATACCTCTCTACAGAAGCCACAAGAGAAAGCCAGAGTATAGACCAAGCCCGACAGCTGCAAATAGTTTGTTAGAAAGATGTAAGATTCCCAAGAGAAAGCACATCTTAACAGATCAGTAACTTTGGTCTTAGAAAGGTTGAGAACTTAAACTGGCCCATGTACTAAGCTAAGAGTAAGAAGTCTGCAGTCAGATGCAAGCTACTAAACTCTGTGAATGAGAACTAGAGTTAGAAGCATTACTTTGCCTTTCATAAGTAGTGGGATTCATCACTGCCAGTTTAGGTAAGTATTGATTGTCTAGTCATCCTAGGCTTACCCAAATCTGTTTCACCATGCAAGATTTGTATGTACATATTTGCATGCTGAACTGGGGTTCTTCTGCTTGAGAACCTTATTAGCTGCAACACATTAAGCCTTAGGGCCCTTCTCTGTATATACTGAAGAGGTTACTACAGTATAACATCTGGTGCAACATTAGCTACTTAAACAGTTTGTTTTAGGCAAGCATATAGCTATGTTCAGGACCACTATAGCATGCTTCTGTTCTGTAGTATTTATTCCAGGCTTAGAAGAACAAACCCAGAATACCCTGCATCCCACAAACTAAACCACACCCATGCTTTGAGCTAAACAGAGGGAAGGGAAATAGGTGCAACCTGTATGGACGTACAAGATTATTAAAGCACATACCATGTTTACACCTGTAGTAATTTCTTTAACAATTCCGTACTGTTCTAGTAATGGTAAAACATCAGCTATGTAGGTATCCCACCACTTGTTGAGGAATTCTGGGTGAACTATTTTAGGGTCATCCATGTTGCCTTTTATGCTTTTTGTTCTGGAGTCATATGTATAGTTCCATGGCTTGGTACTTCCCAGGAAATGCACCACTTTAGTATTTGCACCAAACCTGTTGGACAGAAAAATTTAGAAGCCACAGTTTGTACATGTTCCTAGAAAATTAAGTTCTGACTGGCTGACTTTTTTTTAACCTGCAGTTTCTGCATTTGTCCAGAAAACAGAAATATGTATATATTTAGGAAGCTAAATGATCAAACTGCCAAACTACTGGGACTGGAAGCATTGCTATACAACAGAAGAAACGCAAACTGAATTCTACATTATACTAGTCAGAATACAGCCAAAACCTAATGGTCTGGTCTATTTAAGTACTTACAGCCAACCCAAGAGTGATGTTCATAGCTCAGGAGAGAACAGTCTCAAGCAGCCGTTGCAATCGGAACTGATTTTAACAGTGAAAAAGATTCTACTCCAGAGTCAGCGAGCTGGAGAGTTAGGCATTACAAGCATTATGTAGAGAAGGGTCAGTGTTAGAGTTAGTCTTTCAGTTTACAGCCCTATAGAAAAAGATCATTGGAAGGCCCTGCTGCGGGAGGACTGTCCCTCTGCAAAGTAGTAGCTTTGTATAACCTAGGCATTTCAGAGGACTTCTGATCTTGGTGCAGCAGGGTCTTGCTAGACAACCACTCTTAACTAAATATCCTTAGTTTAGCCATGGGTGAGCTTGGCAGCAGGTTGTTTTTGTTTCTTTTAAAAACTATTTTAGCTCCATTTTCCATATGGACTTGTAGCTTTATCCCAAGTGTTATCAGTATGTTCTGCATTAAAAGTATAGATGAGATACAACTTTTCTCAAAGACCTTGACACTAAAAGAGGCAACACTCATTCCATTCTTCTACCCTTCCAGAACTAGATTTCAGTTTTGTGAACAAGCAATATCAGTCTCTCTAGTAACAGCAACTGTCTCACCTAGTTCGGTTCCTATCACATTAGGATTTCTTCTCAACGCAGCGTGACTGAAATGGATAATAATGCCAAAGTAGTTTCTCTAACATTTTATTAAGCACATGCTAGTCATTTGAACGGGACTCAGGTGTTTAAGAAGTTTTATATATGGAGATAATATAAATATGTTTCAAAAGCTGTAGAATATTCAAACCAAGGCAGTATGCATTTTGGTGGGGGGTTTTGTTCTACTGTAAGATCCTTGACAATATTTAAATATTCATGTTCAATGTTTTCAACATAACACAATGAAGACCTATGTGTGTGTGAAACAAGGTCAAGTACTTGAACTAATTGCAAGAAAAAAAGTGTCTTCAATAGGTCAGTTATTGGGCTTTAACTTCAAACTCTGTATGTAAACATTTGACATAAGAGGACTATTTTATTAGCTGTCACAATACTAAACAGCCCAAGTTTTCTTCACTTTAGGCTGCTGCTATTCTGAAGAAACTTGTCATTGTTCAAAAATCAAAGCTATTTCAGCTAGAGAATGCCTAAGTGTCATGTTACACTTGGGGCAAATGTACAAGTGTACTCTTAGTATTCTGTCCACTTATGACCAGAGAAAACAGTTGACAGATGCCAGGCTTCTACAATGTTTTCAGTATCTGCTTTCTAGATCTGCAATACTTTCTTTTGACATTTAAGCTCAACTGTTAGGAAGCTGTATGTCCACACTGGCCTCAGCAACTAATCTGTCTTTCCCCATCTCCCAGAAAAGTCCTTCATCAATGTTTTGAAGTTAGAGAGCATTTGTCATGAATTGGCATTTTCCTTTGGAAAAAGGATTACTGAGACTGCTGTGAAATCTAGTCTCGCTGTACAAAGCTGCGAAAAACTTAGCTATTGCTGTCAGTTGGTTTAAATTTCACTATATTCCAACTGCTGATTATCAGAAGAGTAGCTGCTGATCTAACCAAGGGACGTCGTTCCACCTACTGAGCAGCAAATTTTACTTAAAAGGGCTGCATTTCCAGCATTGTAATTCAGTTAAGCAACTGTTTCAGTCAGTTAAATGCAATTTTTGTCAGGAGGCCCCAGATCCAATTAGCCTTTTGTGGCAACAAGGTAATTTGTAAAATTAAGGTCATGCCACTTATAGCTAGCCATGGAAAGAGGACATATGTTACAATAGATGTTAGCTTATCAAATCCAGCTACTTAGTCATTCTGAGGCTTGCATGTATTTCTTTAAATAAGTGTTCCAATTTTAGCACGACAAGATTCCAAGTGGTATTCTGATCACAAGACATAGTTTGGTCTTGAGCCAGCAACAGTCCTGCTTATGCTAGCTGCTGCTTTAGACATTAGTAACCTGATGTCATTCAGAGATCAGACTGTTTTTATGCAATTGGTACTTTCCCTCCCCCTCACCCCCAACTTCTGCAGCTCTTAATAGATAAGAGTTTCTGTGTAACCTTTCAGGTTCCCTTGCTTCCCCCCCCTCCCCCGTGCTGCTATAACACTGAGTAACCCTGCCTCTGACATACAGTCTACTTGCATGCCAAATCTAATCCTGCTAGCTAGGGAGGATTCAGCTTTCCTCACAGAGGAAACATGCAATGGTATGATGGTTGGCCGTAGTCTTTGTTTCATCTTGCTATAACTTCAAGAACTGACAGAGAGCTAGAAAGACTGTTGGGAGAGAATTCTAAGCTTTATACTGGTCTTTGTTCACTACACTTATTTGAATGGTATGGATTGATTAGATGAACTGTAACTACTGGTTGTTAAATACCCTAAGTTACTGGAATGAGGAAAGGCCAAGTTATCTAAGTGGGAACAATACCAGTGATGGGCTGAAGTTCAGCTCAAGCTGATTCGGGAGTCTAGTGCCTTTGGTTAGAACTGTACTAGACCATATCCCACATTGAAGGAGTGGTTCTGCCATTTGCAAGTGACCTGTCAAATGTGCTTACTCTAAGTGAACTTCAGTGTTACCACCAGGGTGATTGGTTTAAGCTACAGATACAACTATCTCTCTGCACTTATCTTGAGCTGATTCATTTGACTTAGATTAATTCAAGTTTTTTTAAAGAGAAGAAACTATTATATATTCAGTGACAATAATGGTCTCATTTTAGAAAACCTGTGTAAGCTCACATTGTGCCTGTTCATTCCGGTACAAGATATTAGTTTCTGTAAGCTCTGAAAGTCATCTTAAAATTGTGAACTTACGCTTTAAATGCTGGAAGGTAGGAATATACAGAAGTGCTGCTCAAATTATAAATAAATGGTAGATGTTTGCTCATGTCTGTTGTTGCCCAGCTGCTGAAGAAGGTGTTTAATAACCCCTGATCTGCACCTAAAAGAGAAAGCATTAATAGGCTACAAGCATCAGATAGCTGTTTGAGGATCTTTTTCAGTCGCTTCACTAAGTAAGAGCTGCTAACACAGCTGTCATGTCCAGTAGGAGTTTGGCACAAAGCACTAAAGTCTATTTGTGAACAATCCTGTAAACCTTGCAGCATTTGAAAATCCAAATAATACAGAGAATGAAACAGAGAGTATGTGTGGGGTTACTTCTGGTAAAAGAGCAAGCTGCTCACAAACTCTGCTATTCAGTTTCTTTTACAGCTGAAGTTTAAGCTGTATGAGGCAGCAAAAAAACCCAGGATAACCAAGTACTGTTCAGCTTCAGGAAAGCTGCAGCTCAGAAGATCAAGTGGCAACAGTTAGTTTTATTATTTATTTATGCTCAACATCTCACTGCCAAAGTTAGGCTATCAGTGGCCTGTTAGACATGCAGTCTCAGATGTATCTACCTACACAGTGATCTGATAAGAAAAGCACATTCAGTCTTGGTGAAAACTCTAGTAAAATTTTATCAAATCCCTTAACAGTCAATAGGTGTTCCTAGTTCTGTACTAAAAAGCTACTGACTAAGTGAGGGATAATCTGTGTCGGGAGGGGTCACCTCTTAGTCTGCAAGTGGAGGTTGTAACAAGGTTAAGTGAGCCTGAAGTTGTTTGGTATCTTAGCAGTAGAGTAGCTAAAAAAAATAAAATATATAGCCGCTGGGCCAAGGGAGACTAGTTTATAAGCAGCTACCAAGCAGTAAACCCCTATTCATTTATATCCATTAATTCTTTATTGCAATGAATGTACTTAGTCATTAAGTGATAACAGTTCCCCATATAAAGGAAATTGAAGGGAATCCCTCAACTTTCATTAGCTGTATTCCTTTCCCCTATAACTGCATTCACAGGTAGCATTGCTAAAGAGCAGGTAAATGGATAGCTTAGTTAGAAGAGACAATGTTTTAATATTTTCTCAAGCAGTCAATCTCTGCTAACTCACAAAGGTTCTTCATTGGCCTGTGATTGGATTTAGGGCAGTATTAAGGCTTACACCATCAGTACTGTTAGAGCAGAATTTGCTTTTTGCAACTGAAGTATCTGGGCATAAACTTAGATGTACAGACAGTACACTGACAAATATAAATTCTAAGTATCCTGTTACAGCTGTCAGCATACATGCAGATTGCAGAGTGAGAAACTGCCAAGAGACTCAGTCCAGTAATTTCAAGCCTCAGACTTCCCTCAATCCATAAAGGAAGGAAAGCACTTTTGAAGAAGTTGGGTCCATCACAAGGGGCAGCAACAGTGTATTTAACTTTACAGGACTTTGACTCGGATTGTTTGACATATTTGGGTTTTCTTTTCAGATTGCATGTATTTGTGCCAAAGCAGACACTGACAGCAGCATTTGGCTGTCCTAGTTCAGATTCCAACTGTGGCCTTGTTGTATAAACTGAATCTTAGACCTAAGATGAAAGAATCGGGCAGTACTTAAATTAACTACATATCTACAGATACAATCTCGCTGTATCATACCTTTATACGTAAAAGCAAGTATTCTGGATCCCAGGCTAAAGAGCCAGAGGATTGTCAAAGCAATAGCAGCATTATTAAGGTATCAGTACTACCAGATTTCTTTTAACACTAAACTTTTCTTTCCCCTTCACTGCTTTTAGATGGTAGAGTTATTGCATGACATATTATTATCTAGAAAGGTGAAGTTCAGGTAGACAAAGTAGTTGTCTACATAAGTGGTCATCACTCTGCCATTTCTGGACAACAGCATTACATAGGAGGCATCTGTCTGATGTTATAGACAAGAAACATTCTGCAAAGTCTTGCATTCCTTAGTTACTACTACTGCAGATAAGGCACTTGCAGCTTGACTTCAACTACACATAGCTTGGTAGCTTGTTAAGTTTTCATCTCTATGTCCTGTTAAAAGCAGTGACCCTTCACACAGGTCCTTCTCTTATTAAAAGTTTCCTTGAACATTTTATTACTGTCTGGGTCAATATAAGTTTCAATTCCCTTTCTCCCCACTAAGTTCCTGCACTCAGCAGTAGCTTATACATGGCCTAAGTCACCATGGTCTCATTACTCTGATCAGTGCCACCATTTAATAAAAACTGAGTAATTTTAAAGCTGAAGTACAAGCTACAATCCTAGAAATTTGGTACTTGACCCATTAAATCACTGTTTTTGATGTTAAGTGCTGCAACACTTACTTTGCGTTTAGGACACTGAAGAAGTTTCATCATTGTGTGGCTTTGGCTTTCAAGTCAGAAAGTGTATTGTGGAAGCAGTTCTAGTCTTTTAAAGGACAGGGGCCAGTCAGCAGAAGATGGAGTCTGCTAGCAGTCAAGCACAAAGCCTGGAGGAGACAACCAAGTCTCGGATGTTCCTGGAGCTACTCAACAACCACTTTGCACAAAGGTTTGGGTTCAGGGTTTTTTTGGCTGGTTGGTTTTTTAGAGGGGGTGGGTCAGGAGGGATGGTGGTGTTGTGGCTTTGTGGTGTGGTTTGGGTTTTTTTTAAAGAAATAATTCAGAACTATACTATTGACTTTGCCATAGCTGGTGATCAATTTGCACCCAATATCTGAGAGCATTCACAAAAGCTACCAACCACTAACTTGTCAGTAGCAAGGCACAGACCCTTCATTACATTACTTATTTTCACTAGAGTTTATTCATATGGGAGCATTAAGCATCCAGCTGTGACTAATGTTCTTTAGAAGGCCACACAGAAGCGTCCCCACAGTAACAGGGATTATTCTGCCGACCAGGAGTGACGTCTGGAATTTAATTTTCACAAAGACCTGAAAGGTAAGTCAACAGGCTGGCTCATTACCTTCCATCAAGAGTTCCATTTTACTGTCTTAACAAAATTTAGTGACAGAAGACTGATATTCAGAAGTCTTTATCTGTAGCAGTCTCCAAGAAACATATGCTTTTACTGCAATGGTAATAAATTTAGGAGACTTACAGAACAACAGAATTTGGCTCCTCAAACTTAAATCTGGTACAGTGGCTGATCCCAAGGGACCTATAGTGGGAAGCAGCCAAGGCTAAATGCACCTGATTGGGAAAGAGACAGTTGCCACCTTATAATGACAGGAAGCTATCACATAGCACACCAAGAGATAGTTGTATCTTTGCTTGCTTCTCTGAAGCTGCACTCAAGTTGACCAGTACTGTTTTTCCTACAGTAACTTGAGTTACCATAGAACATTCAATCCTTGAGTGTTAGGAATACATGAAGCATAGTACTGCAGTTTCATTTGCTAATGCATGCACTGTGCTTGCTACATCTTAACGTTTGTTGTTACCTGATTGTATACTGCTAATGCTCACAGCTGCTAGTTTAGCGGCCAAACTTGGGGATTTATTTTTAGTTCATGAAATCTGAAATAAGTAGTTTTACTACATATTGTAATGATAGCCTCTGTTTCTGTGAAGGATACAATTTTTGTGTAGTTACATCGAATTGAGAATTCTATTTTACAGAGTCTCCATGACACATATGTAGTTACTGAGACATCCTGACTACTGTTACCATTTTGGTCTAACTTATATTGAAATACAAATTAATACATACCATCAAAGCTGCCTTTCTCTGTGGCAAACTGTAACAACTGATGGTATGTTTCAGTGGAAGGTCGGTAAACAAAAACTCCCGAGTTAAAACAGTCAGGCCATCCTGGATCTGGTGCTGCAGACAGCTCTTCTCTCTCAAAAAGCTCATCAATATTTGACAAAACCTAGTTGTAAAGGGGTAAAAGAAAAATGTTTTTAGGTTAGGAATTGTGGTGTCATGTTAATGGATTTTGACATCAACCTTAAGACATGAAAGAAAGTTCCTATATTGATGCTCTTGTCTTATGGAGGACAGTACTTTATGGAGATAGTCCCCACAGACTACATTACAATTAATTTAGATTAAAAGGCACACACATTCTTAAAAGTCACTAGTCCAACTACTAAAGGCTTCTATTCCTCCTACTCTTAAAGACAACTAAGAAAAAACAACCCACAGAAAAAAATCCAACAACTCCTAGACTAGGTCATTAAGAGGCACCATGAGACACAGCCACTTACCATTGTGTCTGCATCCATGAAAACACATTTTGAAAACTGTGTCAGTTCCCAGCAGTGAAGCTTTGTTAGTGTGACACCCAGCTCAGGTCTTTTCATTAATGCCAAGTGTGCTGAATCCCCACTATCCAAGACGTTTACCAGTATGACTTCATCAAAGACTTTTTCCAGCACTCTCCTGGGAAAAGAGTCAATTGGCAAGATTTAGTTCTATTGTTACTCCAGCACAAGACCACATGACAGATTCCATAGAGAAGTGGAATAACAGGGAACCTGGCAGTATTTCTTATTCCACCAGTAAGATTTGACTATGCTGGAATGCACAAGTGCACCTGTCTGCCTCAAAATTTCTAGTGTGTAATGGGCGCATTAGGGGAAACAAAGAAGTTTGTTTGGGTTTTTTTCCTTCTAGAAACAGGGTATTATTTGACATTGCTACCAAATCCAGTAGGTCATGGCTACGTAGTACAAAATTTCCACAAAGGGTTTTTTTTATGCAGACTCTGATTTTTGGCAACTTAACAGGTCTACACTGAGCAGGCAATTAAGAAATGGAAAGCTGTTACAAGTAGATTGAGCCAAACAGTAGCTGAATCCTAAACAGCTGAAAGGTAAGTTCATGCAATAGTTATGACAACACCGTTCTGGGCTTGTGACATCTGGGATATCTGACTAGACCCAGTTGCTAAAGCTCTTTATCCCATAGAGGTTTTTTAAGACTGACTTAGTCATGTCTGTGGGTACAGAAGTGTGCTCACTAAAGAGTGACAGACTTTCAGACAGTGTAGTGAAATTTTGTGGCAGATATCAGACCTTTGCTTTACCATCAATAAAGCATTACCATTAGTTCAAGAGAGATTAAGGAGCTCACGCTGCTTAAAATACGAAACATCTGTAAAGTGTATATTGAATGCTCAGCAAGTGCCACCACAATTCAAGCCACTGAGCTTGTAAATGAGTTTTAGAAATCTATTTTGCAAGGCTGTCTTTATACTGACAGTTTGGTGTGTAGTTGCTTCTGAACTCAATTCATACCTAGTTAGTGGAGACAGTGAGAAATACGAGTTCCAGTTACACCACTAAGTAGGTAAGTATCACTGGTCTAAGGGCTTAGTACTAGTTGGTTTGCACTAGCACAGAAGCACATTTAGGATTCATCTTAGAAGAGCACACTCACCTAACAGGCTGGAATGGATGTTCCTACATGTAACATCTTAGTAATGATAAGGCCGTTTAGCTGCCAGGAGACTCCAGGGAGAGTCACTCAATTTTTTTTATTGAGCCACCTCTCTACTGTCTCTCTATATTGACAAGTCTTTCCAGAAGAACTTCCCCCCGTAGAGAATCTTATCTGTAGCTCACATAGCTATTAACTGTTGGGTTTTTTAACCCTCCTCTTACATGTGAAAAGAGCACCCAGTTTACTCCACACTGAGACTATTCTAGAGAGGCTGTAGGACACAGTTGCCTGTTAAATTTCATTTATTGTACTGTGGTGACCTTGTTAGATGTCTCTGTTGAGCTGCTGATTTGGTGTACTTGGTGCTACTTTAGTTCTGCTCGTTTTCTTCTCTCATGGTGAAATGTGAAGTGTCCGCTAGATTTCAAGAGAGCTTGTATTACATTATCAGGAGTACTTCTGCAAAACACAAATACCAATCCCCTACTCCCACTTCCATATGCATACACACAGCGCTAACAAACACACAGGCAATACTGTATTGTTGGACAATTCTAAGTAGGACTATGAAAGAACAAAAATCCAGCTGAAATATAAGTATCAAGTCACAGTTTAGTGCTCTAGCTACAGAATATTTAACTCAGAGGGAAGAAAGAAGAAAACCCCACCAAAGCATAACAGTTTCATGTTTGTAGAAGCACTTGGAGATTTCCGGATAGTACAAGCTGAATTGTGCTAAACTTAGCCGCTAAATTTCCAGAGTTTTGAAAGGTTACTATTAGGGAATTTAACTTACATATTTCAAACTGCTACAGTTCCAGCTGTAGGCTGTGAAGTTTTAAAATGGAAGTGACCTTACCTCATAAGCTCTGAGACCTGAGGAGTTATGAGTGCAGTCAGCTTCCTTGTTGTTCTGTACTGTTGCAAGGATGAACCAAGTACCAGTGCTCCTTTCACATAGGAGTCATTTGTGGCCAGAGTCACAAAAGACTGGTCTGGAAGAAATGAACATGGACAAGTTAGCACGATCCATCACTTTATGATGACAGATATACTAGAAACCTAGTATTAAATAATCATGCTGTGAGAACTCTAAGGTGTGCCCCTTTAACTCCATGCATAGGGCCTACCTACATGGTTGAATGAAGCAGATTATATTCACATAGCTATACTTGCTTGATACATGGCAAAATACAGTAAACCACCCCACAAAATCAAGGTTGTTGCAAGAGAAAAGCCAGTTCAAATATGCTCACAGGTTAAATAAGTCATGTCAAATACAGAGACAATCCAAAGAGTCTAAAGAGCCTTATTTTGGCCATTAATATGCTATTTTGAGTTAAAAGTATTGGGAGTCTGTGGGCTTGCATTTGGTTTAAGGTTCCTAACCTGTTTTGTAGATTTACTCTAGCTTCAGATCTCAACCCTGAAACTAGGGCAGTGTAAAACTTGCATTTCATTTTCAAATGAAAGTAAGCGTTGAATTAGATCTTGGACGACCGTTTTAAGTTTTGCTAGCTCAGGATTTTGCAGATTAGTTGTTCTGCAACCCATGGTTTCAGCTCTATCACAAGAATGAAAGATTTAAATGGGAAGTAATTAGTAGTACAATAAGCAATTTAAAACTTGCAGCAACAGTTTTTACTCTTCAAGCAAAAAGAGCTAAGTTCGGATTGTAACTATAATCTGCTCTAGCTATATCTTCAAAACAGATTAAGACAGATCATTTTGTCATATAGTGCTTATTGAGGCCATGTAATACAAGCTTTGCATTCTTTCAATTGTCAAGGTGTTTTAAACTGCCAGGGTGGGACTCACAAAAGTAAACAAGTAACAGTTCTTCAGTTCACTGTTAACTATCATTACGTAGACCTCCTTTTCAAGCTATAGGGCTTTGTAAAGTATGCTCTTTTCTACCAATCCATTTTCAACAATATCAACAAAATAGTTTCTTCCTAAGAATTTCAAGAGTAGATTTAAATTTATTTTAGCAACTGTGATTTCTCTTCTTTACTTTTGTTGTTCACTAGGTTAGATCAGTGCAAGGGTTCTCGGCACTCAAAGGCTTACTATCAAGTCTAGTAGTAAGATTAAAATACTGACTCCTTTTGGAGAGATCGTCGTTTGATCCAACTCCTAAGTTCATGAGGCAGTCATCACCAGTATCTTTTTAACTTAATACCACCTTAACAGTTGATGACAGAAGGTCATGTACCATAATTGTCTATAAGCACTGCAAACCTGGTTTGCAAGACCTATAGATCAGCTTCTATTTTGCTTAGCAGCAAAACCAACTAGTCCGAAGGGATTTAGATTATAGTGGTCAATCACAAAGATTGAAAAAGCTTCTATAATGCCAGGAATAAAGATATTTTGTTTCAATCCACTTTTAGCTGCCTATTTGTACTAGTTCATATAATTCAGCATGTCTACAGAACAATGTTCTAGCCCATTGAAAGGGGAAGTGTATAATATTTTAAGTGGTGTGAACACCCACCTAATAGGACAGGGTTTTCCACTAATTAATTTGCATGTTACTACTTGATACATAAAAGTCTGGCACTCTGTGCTCTCAGATGACTAAAAATCCAGTGTAGACAACATGTGATCGTGCCCCACATTCAACTGAATCTTGCTTGGGGGTTTTTTTATCCAGCAGGGTAAAACTAATTCTTGAAGTGACCTTGCCATTGAAAGACTAGTATTTTTTTCATTGAGCTGTTAGCAGGTACACTTCTACCTTGTCTCCTGATTTTATTGAAATCAAGTGTTCATGCACAAAGCTCTTAGAGAAATAAAGCCAATATAATGATGGAGTAAAGGCTAAGAAGCCCCCTAATACATCCCAACTCCAACAGGAAACTTTACAACTGCTTGACAGGAGGTGAATATGGGCAATTTGTAGACCATCCAGGTCAGCACAGCTTTCGGAAAAACGTATGTTCTATTTCATATCTTCCCTAAAGTACATTCTTAAGTCTATGCTACAATTTGGGCAAGACCAGTTGCTGCTTATTATAGAAGTTATATCTGTAAGAGACTAGTCCATTCTACCTAAACCACAGTTATGCCAGCTGTGTGGGTCTCGTTCTCATCCTTTCTCCCTTCTCCATTCTATAAACTTCCTTCACAGTATATCTTACATTTACACAGTAACCACAAGTTGTGCCTGAAACCTAATGAACTGTTAGTAATAGCACGTCTGCAAAACCAGGACGAGACAGCTGCACAGCTTCGCAATTGTCTTATCCAGACAAAACCACAGTATACTTTCGAGACATCTTTGTCTGCCCAGCTCGTAGGCTGTAATATCTCTTTGCAAGAGTCTTTGTGCTAGTCCTTACACACCCGAGAGCATCCTGGAAGCCTGAGCTAGGTCCGGCTTTGCATCTGATGGTGTGCAGGAGGTCACTGGAGTGCTTGCCCCAGAGGCTTTAAAACTCCCCGAGAAGCTTTTCCGTAGGCATAGCCAGAGTTCAGAGGTGCTTGCCTTTTCCCCTACTTCTGAGTTAAGTACTAGTATATCTGAATTGGTTTTTTTCAGTACGGGATTCCTAGAGAGACAAGAGTATCTAATCAAGACACGCACCGGGATGCAGACTTCCTGCAGGCTTCCGGATTGGAAAGTGAAACCGACGCTGCTGACACCTTCAGGCGGCAGGTAAGGATCGGGAGGGGGTGGGGGGTAAGGGCGGGGAACCGCAAGAAATAAGCCAGACGTACTTGGAGAGGCGGTAAGGAACTTCTCACTGTACACTATCAAGATCCGCACAAATCACACGCTCTCCGGCGCTTCAGGAGAGGGCTGGGTTTTCCCCCGTGAGCCGCCG